AAACCAGCCTCCCTGTCTCCTCCCCACAAGTCACTGCTCCCAGCCTAGGAGGTCACGTGGCTTGTTGTGGCACCACAGGGAGAGAGGTGTGCTGGCTGAAGGGTCCTGGCTGGCCCTCAGGACCAACTCAGGTCTGGAGCTACTGCAGTGCCCACTGCTGGGCCCAGACCTGCCATCAGGCTCTATACTGGCTCCAGGGAGCCTGCAGCTGCCCTAGTCCTGCCCCTCGGCTTCAGGGGACTCTTCCCTTCCTCTGGCCCAAGGCTCCAGACCTGCTCCACTCCAGCCCTGCCCAAGAAGCTGGGACATGCAGTGACAGGTAGGGACTTCTGGCTGCCTACAGAGCGGAGCCAGGTTCTCTGAACAGTTGATTCTGACTTGTCTTTCCAGCCGTGAAGGTGCCGGACCCTGAGGTGTTAGGACCCCTTAGCTTGGTTTGTCTCTCACTGCCCGGATGAAGGATGCAGTAGCTCAGGTTGTTCTGGTCTCAGCTGCTCCAAGGGTTTCATTGTAAGGCTTTTCCAAAGGCCCCATAGCCTCAGTGTGGATACTCAAGGGGACCGAGGTCTCTCTACCTAGCTCATGTGCTCAAAGAGAGAGTACTCGTAAAATCTCACAAAGACAGGACCTTGGTCTGCCTAGACCCAGCCCTGTTCCATCCCCAGCCAGGATCTAACCTCCGCAGTGCCCCCTCCACTCCCTGCCTTCTGCCAATCTCTCTCTCAGCCCTGGAGCCTGGAAACTACTCAGACCTTACACCCACCATGGAGCTAGGGCTCCCAGCTACTCCTGCCCCACAAAGCGGAAAAGCCTGGAGCCCAAGCCAGAGGCTGAGAACTTGAGTCCAGACAGGTCCCCTGGGGGCAGGCAGTGGATTGAGGGGCAGCCTGTGTCTCCATGGACACATGACACGACTAACCGGCTGAGAACCCTGGGTCAGGCAGGAATCAGCTGGAGGAGAGGTGGGTCACTCCCTGAACTTTCACCTCCCCAGGAATTGCTGGTCACCTGGGATCTCCTAGGACAGTGGACGTGAGCAGTACTACTGGCTGCATCGTCTATCTGGTGAGAGGGCAGACAGAGCAGAGCCCATTCGCAATACGTGGCTTTTGGGCCAGTCAATCTGAGAGGCTACGTGAGCTAAGGGGTGTGACTGAGCATGTGGCCCGGCACCTGGCAGCAGGCCCTGCTTTGGGGCTCCGGGCAATGCTCCCAGTGACCCTCAGTCCTGACTTTGGTTTCAAAGGTGGAAGGGGCAGAGCACTGGACTAGAAGGAGGCTGCAGGCCAGGACTGACGGGCACTGGCACACCTGGGCATGAGGCGGCCAAGACAGGTTGCATCAGCAGGGCGCTCCTCTGCACCAGGGCCTGTGTGAGCAAAGTCAAATGTCCATCACTTCTCTCACCCCCTTCCTCTGGGCTGTTCCACTCGGTGCTGAAGGAGCCAGTACCACTTAGTCCTCGGGAGAGGCTCCAGACAGAGGAAGAGGCAGAAACAGGCTTGCGGAGGCTGATCCTGACCAAGAATGTCCTGCCCTCACACATCCAGGACAGCTCCATTGCTCCTGCAGTGCAGGAAGGGCACTTTCAGGAGAAGGGATAAACTCACCGGCACATAGAGGGACAAGGTCTCCACCATGCTCCCAGTAATGCTGCGTAGGGCACCCCCTAGAGCGTCCACCTTCTCTCTGGCTATGGAAGCTGCCTTGCGGGGGGTGAGCTGGAGCAGTTCCCCAGCTGTCCCCCAGACAGCAGAGGGGGCTCTCAGTTTGCAGATTCTGAGAAAGGCTGCCCACCAGGCTTGGAGTCTTGGCACGCTCAGCCATCTGCAAAGAGAAACACACCCCTCTACTCCACTGAGAGCCAGGCAAGGCCTTCGCTGGGGAGCTGCAGGCCTCAGGCACCATCTCTGCTCTGAAGCCCAATGGCTGTGTCTACACTGGGCCACTTATTCCGGAAAATCAGCCGCTTTTCTGGAATAAGCTGCGAGCTGTCTACACTGGCCCTTGAATTTCCGGAAAAGCAATGATGCTCTACTGTACAAAATCAGCCGCTATTCTGGAAAAACTATTCTGCTCCCGCTCGGTCATAAGTCCTTATTCCGGAACACTGTTCCGGAAAAGGGCCAGTGTAGACAGCCCAGTAGTCTTTTCCGGAAAAAAGCCCCGATCGTGAAAATGGCGATCGGGGCTCTTTTCCGGAAAAGTGCATCTACATTGGCCACAGACGCTTTTCCGGAAAAAGGGGTTTTCCGGAAAAGCAGCCTGCCAATGTAGATGCTCCTTTTCCGGAAAAACTGAAAACGGAATAGTATTCCGTTTTAAGCATTTCCGGAAATTCATGCCAGTGTAGACACAGCCTTTGAGTGTCCAAAGAAGGAGCAGAGGATTTGGAGCCAGTGCCATTGGCCTTGGGCTAAGCAGCCTGCACTGAGGCTTCCTCCTGCCCTCCCTCGCCCAACCCCCAAGGCCTCCAAGACACACAAGCCTGCCCCCGCTCCCCCAGCTATTAGGTTCCAGGCTGTATTTCCAGTGGAAGCTTGTCCCACTCCTCCAACTGTGCTGAGAGTGGGAGGGAAAGCTGCAGGGCTCTCACTTCCCTTCTTTGTCCCAACAGATCTTTTACTAAGGGACAGTTTCCACTCAGCCATCTCCACTGCCTGATCTCTGGGCCAGGTTCTCAGTCTTGGTCCAGCAGCACAGAGCCGCGGTAAAGCTGGTGGGTCCAGCCTCCCAAGGATTCCCCTGACGAAGTGAACACATTCTTAGGTGTCAGAGCTCTAGTAGTGGCTCCATGTCACCACGTTGTGCCAGTGAAGGGGCACTCTTGAGCTGAGAGGGGTGTAGCAGGGCCTGGCTGCCTGAACTGCTGCCTAGGGCTGTGGGCCAAAAACAGGAAGTTTAAGCTGACTCCCCTACTCCCCATCCCTCACTGCAACAAACACAGTTCAGCCGGCCAGATACTCCAGGCCTCTGTGTCTGACAGGCCTTGAGTCTGCCAACTCCCTTTTCAAGGGATAGGGGCCTCTCCAGAGCTTCCACCAGATGAGGGAGCTAAAGACACTTCTTTCCCCTCCACTGGGGCTTCCAAACAATGTTCCCTCTAATATTTTCCATCCATGTGCAGAATAATTGTATGTGCACCGAGGCATGTCTGAACGTGCACCACACCAGTGGAAATAACTAGCTGTGGGTGTACTGCTCACCAATGGCCTCATAAGAACACAGGGAACACTGCCTTCCAACCCTCCACTTGCAACAGCCATCTCCACACCTCCACCTGGGAAGGCACAAGCAGAGGGGCTTCACTTGAGAGCACAAGGGTGCGGGAGCTGCCCCAGGTCACTGAGCCGGTTTCTTGGGAATAAAGACTAAGTGGCAGAGGGGCACAGGGAGCATGGCCCATGGGCACGGACTGGCTTCTAAAAAGAACGGTTTCCCTTAACGTGGCAGTGTAGTCTAGCAGTTATTGCAGGGAGCTTGGAGCCAGGACTCCTGCTACCAATTCCCTCTACAGCTTTGGGAGAATCACGCCCAGCTTTGGGAGAATCAAGCCCTTCCCTACCTCCTTAAGCCTCAGCTTTCCCTCTGTAACTGACCCCTGATGGTACCAAGGACCATGGCTGTGTCTTGGCCACTGGACCGAGCCTGCAGGGGCTTTGTAAAGGTTCCCCCCTCCCTCGGCCCATCACAGCAGGTGTGCTCACCGCTCTGCCCCTCTCTGTACCTCACTTGCTTTGGTTTCCTCTTTCTTCAGCTCCTCCTCTTGCTCCTGTTCCGGCTCCTTACTCTGCCCCTTGCTCAGCCAGCCAGTTGCCGCATTCTGCACCTCGCACAGGACCTGCTGTGCCTTGGCTGTGCTCTGTCTGGCCACAGAGCCCTGCAGTGAGAAAGAGAGCACAGAGCCCCTGCTCACAGCTGGCACCTCACTAGAGCCACCCTGGTATGGGGCAGCTTCTGCATTGAGGTTGCATTTAATAGTTCACGACTGCATCTCCTGTGCTTGTCACTGGCTCCAGAATCCAGGTGTTTCTGCAGCCCACCATGGCCAGCTCAAGGCTGAGGGGTCAGAGGTCACTGCCCCTTGCCAGGGCTCCAGATTCCCCCAGCAAAACTAGGTATCCAGTGAGAGCCAGCAGACCACTATCAAGGGAGGGGCAGCTGTACGAACACACAGTGTAACACAGGGTCGTTCCATGCAAGGGCAAGCCACCTCTGATCCAGGCCTCCCACCTGCACACAGGACGGTGCTGCCGTCCCAGTGCTGATGGGGCTGCGAGGGTAGGCCCCTCGAGCTTTGCATGCTTAGGTACTACAGGGCGGGGATGGACACTAAAAAAAAAAAATCTAGCTATAAATATGTTAAAATGCTACATTTCTTCTGTTGGCCTCCTGTCCCTGCCTTGCAACAGAGTGGAGGGACACACAGACCATCCACTTGCCACGGCTTTGCTGCCTCCTCTGTGTGCAAAGCAGCAGCTGTTTAACTGATCTACAACAAAGCTACAGAGCGGGTGAGGACAGAAAGTAAAGGAGAATTCCAGAGCCATTAAAAACCACAGGGTGGATTGGTGAGTGGAGATGTAATTACCCTGGATGGAATTTGGCCAGAACACAGGAGTCAAAACCTCAACTCTTTCCAAAAGTGACTTAGCCCTTTAATCTTTGAGTGGCTCAGACTCTGGAATTCCAATTCTCTCCCCTAACACTGCTCCCCGTAATACAGCCCCCTGCATAGGACCATGATCAAGAGAGTCCTCTAACCAGTCACTCACCTCCCCATTCCTTGCAGCAACTCCATGTTCCCCTATCAAACTCAGGCCACCCTGTCTTAGCTTGTGAGCCCTTGCTGGAATGGCTGGCTCTTAGGAACCATTCTGGGTCAGAGCTTAGACAGGATGTTCATGGGTCAGAGGACAGAGAAACACACATGGGAAGAAATCCTAAAGGAGGCAGGGGGTTCTGGTGGGAGTGGAAGTGGGAGTGGTTTCCAGCCCCAGGGAGCAAAGTGGAAAGATGGTGGCTGGGAGGGGGACTTTTTACTCCTGATTTTATCTGTGCTTCCGCTGGGGCTTTTTGCTTTGGGAAGGATGTTATGTCAAGGCCATTCATTACCATTCTAAATATAGAGCCAGTTAAAAATAATCCAGACCACTAGCTTAGCTTGGTGGGGGCCCTGTGTGCACTGATGCCACAGAGATTACAGGTCTCCACGGGAGCTCAGGCCCCTTCCTGACTTGGAAGGAGAGAGAGCAGCTGGTAGCAAAGCATGAACCACAGAGTTGCTTGGCTTCTCCTGAGAAGAAATACATTCGTAACAGTAATGTCCGGTGTCCCGCTGTCCCCCGAGCGCAAGGCCCTGAAATGTACTGGCCTCGCTCCTAGACTGGGATGCAGTGGATGGGCCTCAGTAGTCAGAACAGGATGTTGGGTGCAGGGACACCTGGGTTCTGTTCCTGACATTAACTTGCTGTGACCTTTGTGACTTGGGCCACTTGTGTCTCTTTATCCACCTTGCACTGAGGATAAACCACCTGGTGCTAGCCTGCTAAGTCTGAGAGGCTAAACTGATTAGTGAGTTCAAAGCACTCGGAGAGCCTCAGTGACAGAAACAGACAGGTGCAAAGATGAGAAGGGATACAGCATATAGGAGAATTGATTATTATTACTTGTGTTCCCTGTCTTTGCACTTGTATCCTTTAGTATAGTTTACAGCAGGGGTGGGCAATCATTTTGGAAGGGGAGGCCACTTCACAAATTTCAGGGCCTTAGGCGGAAGGGGCAGGGGTGAGAACTACCCTGTTGGGTACGGTGATTTTATTCTCTGAACCAGCTATAGCTAGTAAGACCAGTTTAATTTAAATTATGAAAGCATGTTAACTTTCTCATGTTAGTTTATCAAACTTCATTTTAAATAAAGTAAAATATTATGTCCAACACAAAAGGTTTCAATGTTTTCTTTATTTATGGGAGGGATGGGGAACCCTTTTTGGGTCTGGGGTCACTGACCCACAAAAAAAAAAAATCAGTTGGGGACCACACAAGTGAGAAGCAAAATCTCCTCCCAAACCCCCCAACGCTCACGGATGTGGCTCCAACTGAGACACCTCACTCCTCTGGTGCCCCAGCCTCATGCGGTGAGGGGAAGGGAAGGGGGAAACTGAGGTTCAGGCCTTCCCATAGACCAGATTTACTTTTCTGTGGTTCTGGAATTAGTGGATTTTATGGACCTCCTTAGGCTCTGGGGTAGGGACAAAAATGAGAGGTACAGTGTGCGAGACAGGGCAGCCAGCAAGTAGGATAGGGATGGGGCACATGATCTGGGAGGGAGCTGGGGTGCAGAAGCAAGCTGGGAGTAGGGTGTTGGCCAAGTGGAGGGAGCAGGAACAAAGGAGGGTGCAGTGTGTGGCCAAGAGAGAGGATGCAAGAACAAGGGAGGGTGTCAGAGCAAGCTGGGGGTGCTGGGATTGGCATGGGGGTGGGAGGGTCTGGGCACGAGGGGGAACCTTACCTGGCTTTGTGCTCCCTTGCAGCAACAGCTGCAGCCATGCTGCCCTGGCCACCCCGGAGGGAGGCCCCACTGCCATGGCCACGCGGTCCCAGAGGTCAGAGACACTGCTGCCAAGGCCTCGCGGTCCGGAGCCAACCCTGAGGCACCGTGGCCACGGGCCACCCTGGAGGCCAGAGGTGCCACTGCCGCAGCCATGAGGTCTGCCTCCTGGGCCAGCGGCCACAGGCCGACCCAGAGGCACTGTGGCAGCAGCACCTCCAGCTTCTGGAGCCAGACCCAGAGCATGTGGCCACGGTAGCGGCACCTCCAGGGCCAGCCCTGTTGAGGAGCCTCCACCCCAGTGATGCCTCCACTGCAGTGGCTGGGGGCAGAGGTGGAGGGGCGGAGCTGAGCTCCTTCTTTCTTCCCCCCCCATACCCGTTGGGGGCAGGGCCTGTAATTGCCTCGTGGGCCGGATCAAAACGTAAGGCGGGCCGAATCCAGCCCTTGACTGGCTTTTGCCCACCCCTGGTTGAGGGGATGAGGAGCCTGCAATAACTGCTGCAACACCATCAGCCCGCGGAGCACATAGCACTGAGTTTGTCTATGTCCTCCATTAAACGTTGGCTGTTACTTGCGTGGCTTGGGATGCAGCAGCCAGCTGGATCCAAGGGGCCATCAGCCCATGTGTTATGGCAGATCAATCCCAGCACTAAACTGCTGCAAGGATCCCCAGGAGACACTGCAGCGGGCTCCCCCGGGCTGTGCTGTGCAAGATGGGGCACTCACCAAGACTGGGATCCATGTGGCCAGCTCCTGCCCTCTGGCTCTAGTGTGCTGGATGGTTCTGTCTGTCTGCTGGTAGGCACGATGGGAGATGGTGCTGGCCAAAGCCCTGATCCGGGTGAAGGTGCCAGGCTGTGGCTGGGAGGGTGTCACCTCAGATCCATGAACCCTTGTGGGCTCCCGAGCTAAGGGCAGAGCAAACTGGGAATAGCATGAAACCAGCATGGGAGGGGTGGGAACAGCGCACATGGCCTGGGATTCACCTGCCCTGCTCTGCGCCCTCTTTCCATGGGAGACTCAGCGTGGAACTGCTCCCCAGGATCTCTGGAGGAGCAGGGACACCAGCTGCACAACAAAGCCCCTTACAGCTCTGCACAGGCCCCGGCATCCAGGGCCTTTCATTTCTGAAGTCCCTTTTCAACCTTCAGCCCCAATCCCCTAGCCTAGTGGAGTGCTGCGCCTTTCAGGCTTCATCTGCAGGAGGCATGTGACCAGAGTGACAGTGCCACCCTGTGGAAAGCACAGCAGATGGCTCCCTGAAAACTGGTTGGTTGCAGGAGGCAAATAGTACCCGTGTTTTAGGAACCCATCCAACAGGCCATTTACTGTGTCCTAGGACATAATGAGGAACAATAACCTGCGGTGAAGGCAGTTTCCAGTGCTATCCTGCTCTCCCTATCACTACTCCGGACTCTACCGGGGATCTCCCTAGTGGGCTAGGTGACAAGAGGCTCTGCTCTACCCCAGTGCACATAAAACCTCTCACTGTTCCCACGGAGGTGTCCACCAGGCATGTGGGGAAGACAGCACAAAGGGACATTCTCTCTTGGCCCTGACCAGAACCAGCCGTAGTGCAGGCAGGAGCTGGAAAAGCGACCAGTGCTCCTCCGTTCTGATGGGCAGCAAACTCTGCTCACCTGGCGCTGAAGCCCTCACACAGACCTGCCCAGGCTTCAGACCTGGAACTCCCGTCCCTCCCCACACTACTCCAGTCTCCTGAGCAGAAGCTGACAAATCCTCTGAACTGGGCAATCTCCACTGTACTGTGACCCCTGTGCCCCCCAATGGCTGCCCAAGCCATGTTTGTGTGAATTAGATTTGAGGCCAGGTCTCCCCAAAGGGAAAAACTTTTGCATTAGCAGGCACTGCTCCCTCCCATCCCCAATGCTATCCATTGATGACGGAAGGCAGAGTTACCTGGCTCATGCTCCTCTTTTGGCAGGAGAAACTCCACCAGCTTCTCTAGCTGTCCCAGGACACTGTCCACACCGGCAGCTGCCATCTGGCTAACTCGGCTGCTTTGAGTGTATTCAGTCGTGCTTCTTGCTGTGCTCTTGGTCAGTTCATAGCCCTCAGTAGTCAGCCCCAAAATCCAGTCCAAGGTGCCAGCTATGGAGCTGCCAATGGTGCTCCCGGCACTTTGAATGGGGATGAAGATGGAGTCCCTCAGTTCAGATGCAATCTGCAGGAGGAGAGATGGAGAAGAGTCCTGCAATATGCTCCAGTCACCCAGGTCTCACAGTGGAAAGATACAGTGACCAATGGAAACCAAAGCATTGCTGTGTGCAAAGACAGCTCCAAGGTAGCTCCAGGGAGGAGCATCAGTGCCTAGACCAGTGCCTAGACCCACAGAAAAATCAGTCGGGGGCCACACAAGTGAGAGGAAAAAACCCCAAACCCCTCACTGACGTGGCCTCCAACTAAGAAGGAGAAAGACTCTCGCCACATTCCCCTTGCACAGCACAGCCTAGAGGGGCCCAGTCTAGTGTGCTCCAGCTCTGCGGGCGGTGAGGGGCGGGGGCCAGGAAGCGGGAGTGCCAGTGTAATGCTGGGGGAGCCCTGAGCCTCAGGGGCAGATCTAGGCAAGCTGGGGGCTGCATTTGGCCCCTGGGCCTTAGGTTCCCCACCCCTGGTCTAGATGGTCTGGGTTGAGGGAAGATGACGGGGATGTTCCCAGGTGCAGCTCATCAGGTATGAAATGACCCCACTGGACTGCATGTCTTTAGGGATTACCCTAGGCCCCATCGTACACTCACTCCTAGCTGTGGGGGACTCTGGGAGCTCAGAGATCAGCAGCTCCTGGCATGTTGCCCTATTAGTCTCAGAAGAGCCCATCACCATCCAGCTATCACCCACATGGAATCAGAGAATGAAAGCAACTCCCTCTGTCCACAGAAAGAGACCGCTCCCCCGAGGCATACGTGAAACAGCAATGCCCAGCATTACATGGGTGCGGGCAGTACCCAGGAAGAGAGGGGTGGGCAATGCCCAAGAGCAGATGGGTGCCATAGGCTGACAGGGGAAAGAGGTTGGGTCCATTACTCACTTTTTCCACTGGGTACTGTAGCGCAGGGATCTTCTGCTCCAGGTGATCCAAGCCCCTGCACGCTAGGATGTTGGCAGCTGTGACTGAACCAGACAAAGCCTGAGTATTAGCCTGGTGATCAGGGGCTCTGTGCTGCATGGAGGGAGGGGCAGGACGCAGCAGAGGATGCCCCCTTCTGAGTCAGTGCAGATCCCGATAGCCCAGCACAGCTAGCAGGCTCTGTGCTGCAGGGAGAGGTGCAGGTGGCACAGTAGAGGGCGCTCTTCCAATGCCCGGGCCTAGAGCAGTGGTTCTCACACCTTAGAAACCTCAGGGTTCCCATTTTGATTACAAGTTTTTCATGGACCCCCAAGCTGGCTTCTAATTTTTCCTGGGGGTGCCCAACCCTGCTCAGACCCAGCCTTGACTCCACTCCACCACTTCCTATAAGGCCCCACCCCAATTCCTCCTGCTTCTGCACCACCCCTGCCCCTCTTCTTTCCCACTGCATTCTCTCCCTTCCCCCAGGCGGGCTGCGGCAGCTGGCGCCCGAGGCCCCCTGCAGCAGCTGGCGCCCCTGCCTGAACAGCCGTCAATGGCCGTGATGTCATCACAGGGCACCCGGGCCACCGGCGCCCTAGGCAATTACCTACCTCGCCCAGGCTCACGGGCTGCCCTTGTGCCCCTCCCTCCCATCACTTCCTGCACATCACTGAACAGCTGTTCCAGGGCGTGCGGGAGGCACGTAGGGCTGCCAGGTGTCCAGTATTCTCTGAATTTTTCCCTGGCCAGGAGGCAAAAATGCCTGACACCTGGCAACCCTACAAACACTCAGCACCTGGCCTCCCCCACCCCAAGTCCCCTCGGGCCCCCAGGGCTCCTGTCCGGTAAAAAAAATTCAGAGAATACTGGACACCTAAAATGTCCGGTATTTTCTGAATGTTTCCTCGGCCAGAAGGTAAAAATGCTGGGCACTTGGCAACCCTACAAACACTCAGCTCCCGGCCTCCTCCCCCCCGAGTTCCCCTCCTGACTTCCAACACCCCCAGCTCCCCCCAATCCCAGCCCCCATGCTTCCCTGGTTCCCCAAGGCTGCTGGCACAAAATGGCAGCTGGCTAAAAGACCTAGGGGAAGCAATGCTTTCCCCTGGGTCTTGGTGCTCAACTGCTCCCCTGATCCTATCCCTGCACTCACTGTTAAAGGGGACATACTGTTTTAATGCTGTTTTCTTTTAATTTTTTTTTGGCTTAATAAGTCCTTGGAATTCTTTTTTTTGGGGGGGGGGGCAACAACTTTGGTCTCCCCTCCCCTTTTTTCCCCTTCAACAGAATTTTTCCCCATTTTTTTGGGGGGAGGCGGTATTTTTGTTTCAATCATCTGGCAATCCTAGGCACTGGGAGGAAGGGGAAAGAGCTGATCAGCAAGGCCAGCTGCCCCAGACATGACTCACGGGCCTGTTGGTACAACCTTACTGACCCAGGTCTGAGAACTGCTGCCTTAGAGCAGTGCTGAGGATGGGAGCAGTGGGAAGGGGGAGGTGCACTGCTTCAGAAGATTTAAGTGTGCCACAGCCCTTCCTCCCCAACACAGGCTGCAGGAGTTCATTCTCTTTGTAAAGTGCTTGGAGGTGCTTACATGGCGCAGGCAGGCAATAGAGTAGAGTTTGTGCTGATGGAGTCTACCCTCCCTCCTGTTACGGGGGGCATGGCCAAGTGCTTTAGCAGCCTCCTGCTCCACACTTAACCAGCCGTATCCTGAAGAAGTGCAGGACACACATGGGTCAGAGGGGATGACCAAAGAGGTGTGGCCACTCCAGGTCCACAACAGACTACAGTTCCTGTGTCATGCTCCCTGCTTAGCGCCACGAGGGTGAACGCAAGTGGGGCAATGGGAAAGACGCTGGGCAGAACAGCTGACCTCTTTCTGGAGGCTGGGTCCAGCTGAGGCTCTGCTGCTCCCTGGCTCTAGCTTTGACAGGCTGCAGCCAGTCAGGGAGTAAGTGTTGGGAAAGAGCTGGGAAGGAGCCAGCTGGATGGAGCATTCAGGCCTTGTGCTGAGCTGCTTACTTTGCATCTTCTTTTTCTTCCCCCGGACTCTGCCCTTCCTTGCTATGGGATGGAATCAGGAAAATCTGACAGACCTGGACTTGACCATTCTCTGATTTTCCCACACTTAATTTCTGGTGATGCTGCAGGGGCTTTGAGGGGGAAGAGGAGCTGGGCTACAGGACTGGCCAGGCACTACTGGCAGGTCTGCCAGGGGAGTCCACAGCTGCCAGGCCCAGACATTCTGAGGGCCAGGATAGGTCCTGATGTTCCAGATGTGTCCTTGAGAGAGGAGGGGCTCTGACTCCATCGCTATGTTATTAACACAGGCCTCCAATGGCTTAAACCAGACCAGGAAAAGCTTGAAGCCCAACCGCCTGCCTAAGCTTATATGGGAAATCTTTAGCTCATGTATTGCACCGTTCATCCTCCACTAACCCAGCACAGGAAGAGCTGACAGAGTCACATCTGCCAGCTGAGGCAAGATGGTCAAGAAAATTGCCCTGGAAGAAGCAGGTGGTAGGGCCAGACAGAGAACAAGGCATTCTCAGCTCCCAGGCCTGTGCTTTGGCTGCTAGCCAGAATCTCTCCACTGCAGCCTTCCTTCCACAGGCAGGGGATTCTCTGTGACTGCTCACATGTGCTAACAGTCCCTGGTTGCCACATACTCCCATGGGCCCCTCCCTGAGAGCTGGGAAGAATCCAGACTTACACTGAGGCTCCAGTCTCCGCACCACAGGCTCCATGCTCCATACAGCCAGCGAGCTGGCCCCCTTCACTCCTCTCTCATAGGCCTCACACACTGATGCCACGAGTGGGTGTACCTCCTTGGTGCTGCTGTATGTCCTCTGAAGGCTTTCACAGGTTGTATTCACCACTGGCAGCTGCAAGACCCTCTGCAGCACATTTTCCTGTGTGCAGCAAGAAGGGGACAAGTTAGGGAGCTGTGCACGACAGAGAGCCCTGCAGGAAACACTTGCTAATATGGGAACAAGCATTTTAGTGACAACATTGGCCACATAGGTCTCCCCCATCAACTGCACCAGTGGTTTTCAAACTATGGATCGCGATTCAGTACTGGGTCATGGAATGTCAGGCCCTGGGTCTCACTGTTGCAGGATGATCAAGTGACCAACAGAGGTGCTTTCCTGGCACTACAGACTGCGCTGTGCCCCAGGTAGGGTTACCAGATGGCTTAACAAAAAAATATTGGACACACTTGATCTCAGATGGGGGGTGGGAGGGAACTGGCCGGGAGGGGAGCGGGGGGAGCGGGGCTGGCCAAAGGAGATTGGGGGAGGGGGTGAAC